AGGTCATGATCTCACAGTTTGTGAGTTCAAGCCCCACATCAGGCTCTGTGCTGACAGCTCAGAGCCTGGAAGCTGCTTCAGATATTCTGTGTCTCCCTCTCTCTCTGCCCACCCTGGCTCACACTCTGTCTCTTTCTCTCTCTCAAATATAAACATCAAAAAAATAATAATAATAAAATAAACTCAAAGAGTACCTAATGATTTAAATGAAACTCTCTCTATTATGCTAAACACCCCCTTGCCTGTCTTTGTTCAACTGAGAAGCAACCATATTTAAACAGTTCTGGTTTTAGTTCTGTCTATACCACAGAACTAATCCCTAAATGTGTGCCTGTGTTTCTGGCCTTATCAACTTTGAACAATACATAATCTGCTTCCTACGGGGAAAGGTGTGTGCACTTAATACACTTTGTACTCTGAGTTCACCTGCATTCCACCTTCCAATTTTTATTAGTTTCATTAACATTTTGAGATCTTGAAAGGTTCCACGCATCTCTTTAAGTAATCTGCTTCAATCCTCATTTCTCAATTCATCAATTTCTGGTATCTTCGAACCACGCCTTGTTCTCTAAGAGGAGGAAAGTAGATCCCTGAGGTCTAGCCTCGGTCCCACCCTTTCCTCTTTGCAACTCGTCAACTGATTAATATCATCATCCAGGCTGGAACCTTTGTACTCTGCTCTGTTTTTAAGTTAGTTTTCTGCTTTGTCTACAGCTTGATTTAAAAATTGAAAACCAATGAGAGATATTTATAATGTTAAGATTATGTAAGCACTAATTGCAGAACCCAGCAGTATGTAAGGCCCATAAAGATGTAAATGCAATTTTACATTTACAAAAATGTCCATCCCCAAAATAAGGGAAAATAGATTCCCTTTCTCTACACCCTTTCTATTTTTCCAAGTCATGTCACACTTCAGGTCAGACCATCTTATCATCATTCCTAAATAGGTTTTATTTCCTTTATTCTAATGAAGAGAAGAGACATACATGGACCTTTGTACATATCTGAGATCTTCCAGCTTGTTACACATTTTGTAATCCGTGTTCATCAATCATCACCTCCTGTCTACTCTCATCTAATTTGGGCCCATTGCTTTCGAGGCCTGTTTTACTGCTGATAATTTGACATTTCTTTTCATTTTGTTCCTCAGCAGTTCTTCTGTTTGTTGGATTTGTTTTTGCTTCTCCTAAATTACCTCCCAGATCACACCCGGAAGAGTAAACAGGAGAAACTTTCTGAGTCATTAGCTTATTTTGCCTGGATTCTTAAGTAACAGGTTAGCTGGCTGAAACATTTAGGTTCAAAATTAATGATTCCTGAGAACTTTGAAATCTTGCTCTACTGTCTTCCAAAATTAAGGTTTTTTGTTTGTTTGTTTGGGGTTTTTTTTTTGTTATTTTTTGGTTTTGGGGTTTTTTTTTTTTTTTTTTTGAGAGACAGAGAGCATGAGTGGGAGAGGGACAGAGAGAGAGAGGGACAAAGGATCTGAAGTGGGCTCTGTGCTGACAGAAGAGAGCCCCATGTGGTACCTGAACTCATGAACTGTGAGATCAGGACCTGAGTCAAAGTCTGACGTTCACTTGACTGAGCCACCCAGGTGAACCCAAAGTCAGTACTATTAATGAAAAGTATATGATGACAATCCTATGCTTGTATTTTTGTTTTTGGGTTTTTTGTTTTTTTTTTCTTTCTGGTAGAGGGAAGTTTGTAGGTATCCTGGTAAGTCTCTCTGCAAACCTTATGCTAAGAATTTTTAAATTTCAAAAGAATAGTTCTTGGCACATGGTGAGTGTGTTTCATTGGAAAGTTATTCTTTCATTGTTTATTTGCTTCTCCACCTTTGTTCTCTCATCTTGGACTAATTGCATTATTAACAGCTTTCTAGATCTATGCTCCATTTCAACATCTTTCTTCTATTTTCCCTTGCTGTCATTCCTGAACTTCTGAGCTATTTTCTCAACTTTATCTTCTAGGTTAGTACGTTAGTTTTCAGCCAAACCAATGAATCAATACTATTGATTTTTCATTTTATTTCATTTTATAGCCAATGTGTAATTCATCAAGGCCTCTTTTGTGTCCGTTGCTTCTAAGCTGCTCCATAGCAGCCCACTACTGTGGACAAACATTCTGTGCTCTCAAATCTCTCTGAGACAAATTCAATGCTTAACATCCTCTTTCTTTTTTCTTTTATCTGTTTCTCCCATGGTTAGTTGCTCTTTTGCACATCTTAGTATTTCTCTTTAACCAAGTATCTGATGATCCTTGATTGACTGGTAATAGCTTTTAATAAATAGCATACTGATCATTATAGGTAGTCGACAAAGTTATTTTTTATGGTGTGGAAGAACAGTTAACCCCTAACACCTGTCACTGAATGGCGTTAACTAATCGGTGTTACTTAACTAACTCTACATTCTGTGTAAGTGGGTCAGAGACAGGCTTCTTTTCAGGCGGCGAAGACAGTTCCTTTGAAGTACTGTACCCGGGTGGTGAAATTCTTCAGTGGATTTCTCTCCCAGGTGTGGCCTTTCCTATACCTCCTCTGAGCTGAATGTGAAGGTCCTGAGTTATCTCAGGCTCCGTGCCAACAGCACGGTGGACGCCTTCCCCAGGAAGCTCTCCTCTGGTGTTTGAGCACCTCCCTTGTGTCCGGGAGGGGACAGGTCCAGGAGGCAGCTGCCCCGAGACCGGGGAGGGACACCTGGGAGGAGGCTTCCGAGCGGGAGCTTTTACGAAGTGCCCTCTGATTCTCTGACACTCAAAGTGCAATCAAAGTGCTACTGATTCTGAAGCTGAACCTGCCTCTAAACGAGGGACCTCAGTGACTCAGAAGCACAGCTAAGCACGCTCAGAAGCGTGGCTCCTCAAAGTCCTTGTTCCTGCCCCCTCATCTCCTGCTGTCGCCCAGGCCACCTCTGAGTGATCTAGGGCTCTACCAGGAGGAGTGGCTCTACGCCCTCCCACCTTCCTCCCTGTGTGCTCCACGCTGTCCTTCACTATGATCCACTTTTCCTTTTTGGTATGTATTTCCTATGTGTGAAATAGTGTAGCAAACACCCAAGCAGTCATCACCCAGCTCAGAAATAAAACTTAACAGATATCATTGAATACCGCCCCCCCCCTATACATCCCCTCTGTGCATCATGATCAGTTCTGAGGACAGCACAGCAGGGGAGCCGGCAGCCACGCAGCTGCGGGGTCACCCCTCTGGTGTGACTCTGCGGTGGTGCCGGCACAGACCCAAAGGGCGCCCCTAGCTAATGTGGGGGCTGAGAAGGTATGGGATGGCCTGGGAGGGGAAAGCCTTGGAGCTACACTCACCCATGGGCTACGCCAGAACGAATGAAAAAAGGCCCATGGGGTGCTAAGACGTCACAGCCTCAGGTGTTCACATCTGGGAACTGGGCTCGTGTTGGGGTGACGGAGAATAGCGTCTGCTCAAATATGCATTAACGAGACTGCCTCGTGAGCCCAGGAGAAGCTTCTACAGATCCAAAGAGACACAGAAACGGGGGGATGACTTCCAAAATGCCTGTCAGCAGGAGCAGTCCCTCCACAATACAGGACCCAGAGCCCTGACAAGATTTGGAATCAAGACAGGAGTTAGGTCTCAGAAATAAGGATGCGCGTGGGCTAGACCAGGTATAAGAACGAAACTGTGGGTTCTTAGAGACTGGAGCTGCTGAAATCCTTCCTGCTGATTCATGGAATTAGTCCTAGACTTAACTAATGGAGACGCCAGGGCCTGAGCTGGAGAACGGGGCAGGGGAGAAAAAGGAAGGGGAGGGGAGGTGGAAGCCAGGAACCAGACATGAACCCACACCATCGCTTGACCTCAAAGAGGCTTATGTTTTTCAGCGTTTGTGAAAAAGCCAACATATCCCAAAATCTACACAAAACTGTAAAGACTATTCTGTCCCCCGACCCTGACCCAACCCCCACTCCCATACACCATGAAACAAATAACCAGAGCACCAGGAAGACCTCACTGTATTCCTGGAAATTGTTTTGAGCACCTTCTGTGTGCCAGGCACTGTGCTGGGAATTGAAACCTCAGTGGGGAGTAGCACCTGCAAGAGCACCTGCCTGGGCTTGCAGCAATTCCTGTTCAGCAGCAGAACTGGGCGGTCAGATATGCAAAACAGATGGTTTCTGTCAGTGTGGGAAGGGCTGCGCTGGAGTTCCTGGATCGTGTGGCTGAGTGGGGGAGGGGCAGAGGGAGGGAGGCATGGAAAGGAGACACAACACGATGTAGTCCATGAGCCATAACTACGTGGCTGCTTCTGGAGCAGAACCCAAGACAAGTGTGAGATGGTCAGAGATCATGGCTTTAGAGACTGACAGCCCTGGGTTCAAATCCTCCCTCTGCCCCATACCATTTGTATGACCTTGAGCATGCTGCTTTAATCTCTGTAAACCTGTTTTCCCCTCTGATCATTAGGGGATCAGGAGAAAAGGCACTAGAAATACCTTGATTACTTTGTATAGAGTAATATAATACCCCTAAGAGGATGGGAAGAATAGAGGCCAAGTCAAGAAGAAAATATATGCCATACTGGCTACTAAAATTGCTTCACATTTATTCTTTCAGGATTAGTAGGTTGTAAGTCTCATGAGATACATACATGAAGAACTGTAATTGATTAGACTCCACAGTAGAAATGGATCGAACTATTTCCTCGTCTTGTTTCAAGCTTCCTCCCAAAGTAGTTGTTATGTTATTTTTCTTTGTCCTTGTATAGATGTATTTAGTGGGACCTCCCATATAGGTCTGCTCAGACAAGTTCCATATTATGTTTATCATCGACGTTGGCATCATCAGTATCAATATTGGTGCCTGGGTGGCTCATTGGCTGAGCATCTGACTTTTGATTTCAGCTCAAGTCATGACCCCAGGGCCATAGGATTGAGACCTGCACAAGGTTGTGGTAAACATGGAACCCGTTTAAGATTCTCTCTTTCTCTCTCTCCCTCTGGCCCTCTCCCCCACTTGTGCTCATTCTCTCTCTCTCTCTCTCTCAAATTAAAAAAAAAAGAAGCGAAAAAAAATGATTGTCTTTAAATTCCCAAGAATCCAATCAAAACAATGAAAAAAAAAATACAGTGAAGATACAACATAGAAGGAACTTGACAATTACTTGTCTCCCTTTTTGTGCCTTCCTGTTCAGAAGTCTTCTCTTCTTTGACTCCACAGTGAAAACAGACAGCATCTCTTCAACAGCAGGTAAAAATACTAACCACTGAGGATAAGGTGGAGAAAACCGACTAAGTCAAGAAGAGGCTAGAACTTATGCTGGTGCATCTGCTCCGCGCCCTTCAGGACTGGTTCCCTGCAGCCGAGCATTGACCCTGACAGCTTCTCCATTGGCCAAGGTCAGTGTTTAATGGTGATTGTTTTTATTTCAGTGAAAAATTCGTAAGAGTCTTTGGCTCCCTCTCTACCTATCCCAGAACTCTTCATCCCGCCGAAAGGGAGGTTCAGCTCTCTGATGAGCCAGCAGTTGGTCCAGACCAAGCCTGACTGCAGCTTCTTAGCCACTCGGTGGACACGGCCCACGTTGCTTGACCACACTGTGGCTGCCAGCCCGTATTTAACGTTATTAGCTCTTTGAATCACTTCCTCCTCACTATCAAAGGGGACGACACATGTCACGGGACCAAATATCTCTTCCTTCATGCAGCAGGATTCATCCTTAATGTCTGTTATCACTGTGGGAAGCATAAAATATCCTGCTTGATTCCTGGCAGGGAGATTCAGTGTATCCACGCCCTCACCACACAGAATCCGGGCCCCTTCAGCACGGGCTTTCTTGATGTAACTTCTGACCTAAGTGGGTAAAAACCATGATTAGCAACACCTTACCATTTGGTGGTACACAAGCAGCTTTGCTACACAAAACAGCAGAAAATCCACTATTTCTGAATCATCTAGGTAATATGTATAAGGTCATTGCTAAGAACTCTAAAGTTTATTATCTTACTGCTCAGCTGCTAAGCCTGAGGGCAAAATTGTTCTGACCATCATCTGGGCATTCAGCCCTCATATGTTAGAGGAGAGGAGTCATTTATTTAATGTCTAAGTGCCAGGCACATGGATAAGTGCTTTTCAGATTCTCACTTAATTCTTTCAAAACTCTATTAGCTATGTATTATTATCTTCTATTTGTTGATGATAAAATTGAGCCTCAGAAAGGGTAGATGGGTCATGCAATTAATAAACAGGAAAGCCAGAATTCATACTCAGGTATATTCAGTAGTTAATTATACAAAATGCTGACTTTGAGGAGGGGCTATGTCCATTACAGAATATGGGAAGTTGAATGGTGTATAAGATTTCATTAAAGGCCAGATGCCTTTCAATAGCTAGGCTTCCAGAACAAATAATTTCTAATTTCTAGTCTCATTACTGATTATATTCTGACAATCTATCTAGGTAATAAAGTATAGCTAACTATAATGGGAAATAGATTATGTAATAAGTAAATCCAGTGACTCGGAGACAATGACAGATGTTTATTAATAATGGTTGTAGAAATGACTCATTATAAAATGATATGTATGTTTATATATGCAAATGTCATTGTGGTCACAACATTATCCTACGCCTGAACGGTATTCTAGGCATAGGGGCAGTAGAGAAGCGATCCCCCAAATTAAAAGTGTAGAACAGCAGTAAGCAATACATCAAAGGCTGGGGACATTGAAATCATACTTTAGATTCTTATTTATCACTTATCTATCTGAGCATTCTGCCCCTGTATTAGATCAGTACTACATTGTCGAACTATACTCAATGTAGTGCTACGTGTTTGCTCTGTAAAGCTAAAAAGGTAATGTTGTTTTATTATTCATTTCGCTCTAGTTTATGGAACACTTATTAAGCTATCAAGTCAAACACTTTCAAAAAAAGAACATTTGGAACAGCTTTCCATTCTAGACTGCTACATAGTTTCCCCAGCCTGAGCAGTGATCTCAATGATCTTCCTGAAAAGCCCTCGGCTAGTTTGCGGGTGGAGACGAAATGAGGTCTGGACTTCTCTTTCCCCTATTCTCTTGTTCCTCTTGAAACAACCCACCCAGATTAATAAAAACATGCCAAAGGCAGCATCCTGTGTGAACAGCAGAAGTTGAGGCAAAGACCTCCAGAGGCCTCTGCTGGTCACAGGACCAGAACTTCCTTCAGTGATTCAAACTCAGAGTGTCCTGGCTTTAGACTGTCTCCTCTACACAGGATTTCATAATTATCTCTTAGAGGCTCTTGGCTAATAAAATGTGAAGGCCAGAGTCAGTTTTCAAATTGTGAACTTTTCAAAATACTTTATGTATAACATGACTCACACTAAACCAAATTTATTTTCTGGAGAGAGTATCACTGGATGATAGACTATCTATACTAGACTCAGGAACTGAGATTTTCAGTAAAATCTGAAAAAAGAGAACAACCTTGTGACTGGTAATAAGCCATAAAATGTAATAAAATATTATTATAAAACTTTTTCGAGAGCAGAGCATAGTTAGTACTTTGTAGCTTTGCACATAAAATCAGAGCACAGAGGTCAGACAGGTGAGCTGGGGAGCCCAAGTGTTCGAATCCCACGGCTTCCACTTACTCGGGGAGAGATTTTAAATGTTCTGTGCCTCGGTTTCCCCTCTGAAAAATAGATTACCATTCCCAGATTAGATCTATGAAATGAAGTATATGAAATATTTAGCATGACGCCTGGTAAGCAGTAAGTCTGATGAATGCCAGCTGCTATGTTGGTGGAGAAGGAGATGGGGTAACACACGATCTGATGCTTACTAGCTAGGAGACTTCACGGATGCTCCCACTCTGCATGTCAGATGCTTTTAAGCTGACAAAAGAAAACAGCAAACTGCCAAAGTGGACCTTTGTTAGCCCTAAAGCCTGGCCCTATTGGGGACGCACCTGCAAACGTCCCCTGCCCTTCCTCCAGCCTCACTGTCAACACCCAAAAAATTCCATCTCCAATTACCTGCATCTTTGGGGAGACTGGCATACAACCAAATTCTCCAGACAGTCAAGTGGAAAAGAATTCGAGGGGGTGAAAAGAAAAACAAAAGTAAAAACAAAAAGCAACCCCGTGCAATAGGCAGAGGGAGCCTTTTCTTCACTCTTCGAGGACAGTGGCCTGCAGTCACCTGTGCATCCCCTGGGTCTCTGGGAACCTGGCAAGTGACACACCCACTCAGGAGCAGGCTGTGTATCTGTGAGTTCTGAGTCCTTTGCTGTTATAGAACAACCTCAACATATTCTAACTGGATTCTTCTGTCCCTGAATCGCCATCTATAGCGACAGCCACCTAGAAATAAGATGGACGTAAAGACCCCAGACGTTGCAGGGCTAATTTGATTCAGAGAAGACATAGACAAGCTACAGAAGAGAAGTGGAATACAAAGATGGGAGCCAGACCATCCTTAGCACACAGCCCCCCCCGCCCCAGGCTTTCTGGTGAGAAGCGAGGATAGATGCCCTTCCCACCCCCAATGGGACATGTCTGCCGCCTCTTCGATCCCAGAGGGTTTGGCATGCTGAACTGAAAAGAGGCCCACTGGAAAGGCCACATTCACACTTCCCTAGCTACTTCCATTAGCTCCCGATCAAGGGCAGAGATTACTCAAGGCCTTCTCACAAGCAATGATGCAAAAGCACCCATCAGGGGTCCACCTGGTAGAGACTCAGAGAGGGATGCTGTGATTCCTTGCATCTGGGCACACTTGCTCTGGGTGGAGCAGCCTTGATGGCAGATGTCTGGGAACTGTCTGAGCCCCCGCAGGATTGCCCTGAGGCTTCGCATGGGGAGGACACGCAAGCCCACCTGAGGGGCGCTCTGTGCTAGGTAGGAGGGGTCTGATATGGAAGACCACAAACAAGAGAGACTCCATAGATAGCAGCAGGTTGATATGTGGTGGGGTAATGGGAATAACATCTTTAGTGTGCTTCCCTAGAAAAATCAAAATAAAATAACTTGGCCAACAATAAAAAGCTATTTAAAAATTTTTTTTAATGTTTACTTTTGAGATAGAGAGAGAGCATGAGCAGAGAAGAGGCAGAGAAAGAGAGGGAGACACAAAATCCCAAGCAGGCTCCAGGCTCTGAGCTGTCAGCACAGTGCCCGATGCGGGGCTCGAACCCATGAACTGAGAGATCATGACCTGAGCCAAAGTTGGATGCTTAACTGAGCCTCCTCAGGCGCCCCTATTTTAAAATTTTTTAACTCTGTGTGCAAAATCTTTCTCCTTAAAAGCAGTAGGGCCATGGAGCTTTCTGAGGTGAGTGCAAAGTAATTACCTGTATTTTATTTTAATACAAAAAGTGGCTGAGAAATTATTTTCTCTAAGGATCGAGGAGAAAATCAAGAGAAGTCGACTGAAAAGTCTGCAGCTTGGTTAACGGTAACGGGCTAATGTTGGCTTCTTGGTGTGGACAGTTGCAGCGTGGTCATGTAGACGGTAACAAAAAAGGAAAGCTGTGTGAGTAGATATAGAAACTATCTGCCCTCACTTCGAGATTTTTCTATAAATCTTAAGTTATTCAAAAAATAGAAAGCTTATTTTTTCCTTAGTTATTGGACTGAGATAGAAAACATTTATGATGGTAAAAATATTCAGGAGTGTTAAAAACATCTGTTTGAAAGATAAATATGTGCTATGTTTGAATGTGGTCAGGGAAAACTGGTAACTATACACTTTGCCATTTTCAGAGTTTCTCATGGAACTTCAGTAACTACGTGGAAATGACAGTAAGAAAATGAAATCTAATTGACATGTTAAATAAATACTTGTCCTTCTGGCATAATTTGGTTTCATAGAAGATAGCATCTCCGGGCAGCCATACTGGGCCTCAAACCTAGCCAGTGTTTCAAGTCTTAAAAAAAAATTAGACATCCCATATGGTTTAGATTAGGATTCTTGGCCTTGGTCCACAGCTTCTGTGGCTACAATGTTAGAGACCATTGGCATCTCTCCCAATGTCCTGTGGGACCATTTCATACCCTCTCCTCTCCTCACCCTACTTCCTTTTTCACTAGAGAAAATAGAAGAAGAGACGCTCAAGCTACTACACCTTCCACTATGAGCATCTCTGTTTCACAATACTGCAAAAAGTCAAAGTTAAAAACGGCAGTACAGGGGCGCCTGGGTGGCTTAGTCGGTTAAGCGTCCGACTTTCGCTTAGGTCATGATCTCGCGGTTCGTGGGTTCGAGCCCCGCGTCGGGCTCTGTGCTGACTGCCAGCTTGGAGCCTGGAGCCTGTTTCAGTCTGTGATTCCCTCTCTCTCTGACCCTCCCCTGCTCACGCTGTCTCTCTCTCTCTACTAGAAATAAATAAAAAAAACATAAAAAAAATAAAAAAATAAAAAAAAAAAAAACAAAAAAAAAAAACGGCAGTACATCAGCCACATCTGTGCAATGTCAAAGATTTCTAGAAACTCAAGTAAAGGCCCTGTCCCTCACAGGCTAACTGATGGGGGCATATTTTCCTTGGTGGGCCTCAGTCACCACAGCTGAAAAGAAGTCCTCTAGCTCCAAAATTCTATGACTTCTTTTGGGAGTCATATCAGGTAATAAATTAAAATAACATTAAAGACCTAAATTCCACAAACCACCCAAAGAGCATCGATGGCTTCTCCCACATGGAGCACCACTCACCTTACCAACTAAGGACCACCTAATTTTGGATCATGGATGCTGGCACTTCCAGAATTCCATCAGCTGTGGCCAGAGGCAGAATCCTTTCCCCTGGGAACTTTTATCTATGGAAACTCCTCCTTAGTCTACATCATTCTTATTAGTGACCCTTATGTTCTGAAATTCGTCTTCCTCATTCTTTTTTTAAAAATTTGTTGGGGCGCCTGGGTGGCTTAGTCAGTTAAGCATCTGACTTTCGCTTAGGTCATGATCTCGCGGTTCGTGGGTTCGAGCCCCGCGTCGGGCTCTGTGCTGACTGCCGGCTCAGAGCCTGGAGCCTGTTTCAGAGTCTGTGACTCCCTCTCTCTCTCTGACCCTCCCCTGCTCACGCTGTCTCTCTCTCTCTCTCCTAGAAATAAATAAAACATTAAAAAAATTTTTTTAAAAATTGTTAACATTTATTCATTTTTGAGAGACAGAGACAGAGTGTGAGTGGGGGAGGGACAGAGAGAGAGGGAGACCCACAGAATCTGAAGCAGACTCCAGGCTCTGAGCTGTCAGCACACAGAGCCTGATGCAGGGGCTCGAACCCATGAACTGTGAGATCATGACCTAAGCCAAAGCTGGATGCTTAACCGACTGAGCCACCCAGGCATCCCATTGTCTTCCTCACTCTTGATGCTGTCTCCATGCTGACTTCTCAGATTGATTCATCCTGTGTAGATGCTGCTTTAACCTGGACTACATTTGTGTTCATATCTAATATTTGTGGACTCTGTATCCAGAGACCATTTCTTATACAGATCAGGAATTTTAATAAGGTCATAATTAACAACATTTCAAAGCATGGATGTGTGCTGTGTCCTGCACTGAGCTTTTCCCCAAACTTCCATTGCACAGATGTACTTACTTTTTCCAAATGAGCTTTACTTATCAGAGCTCCCATGCTGGCCAATGGATCGGAGGGAATGCCAACTTTCCACATTCTGGTAGCTTCTACAAACTTCTTCAAAAATTCACTGTAGATGCTCCTCTGGACAAAGATTCTGCTGGTACAGAGGCAGATTTCACCCTGCCAAGAATGACATGTGAGGACAATGACAAGCCACACTCCTTCATGGACAGGTCACCCTGTACTTGTGAGCCCTTGCTAGTTGCCAGGCACTGGTCTAGGCATGTGCTAAGCCAGACAGAGCCCCTCCATGGGGAGCACACAGTCTTGTGGGGAAGACAGGCACAAGTAAATGAGCTCAATCGGTAACATCATTTCAGATCATGACCAAAGCAATACAAGACAATCCAGCAGAGGCTAGGAATAGAAATTAATGGGAAAGTACAGCTCTTTTACTCCCTTTTAGTAGAGGGAGTCCTAAAAGGCCCTTGTGAAGAGAGGGTATTTGAATTCACACTCAACTGGTGTGAAGGAGCTGGCTGGGCTGGATGGGGAGGAAGGCGGTTCCAGCAGCAAGTGTAGAGGGGCTGCTGGCTAGAGGAGCCAGCTTGCAGTGGTGTGGTGTGCGACAAGGCAAGACGGCGAGTGTGAGCGGGGCTGAGCGGGAGTGCAGGCAGAAATGGGGTCGGGGAGGGTAGGAAACGAGGGCAGGAGGTGAGGAGCAAGGCGGTAGCGCGCACAGTCTCACAGGCTCACAAGGACCTTGCACCTGGTTCCCGGCATCATGAAAAGAACGCAGAAGCCTTTAAGCAGCAGGATGGTGGGATGAGGTTCACGCCATGAAAGGATCCGGCAGCTGTGTGGGGAGTAGAATGGAAGGGAATGCGAGCGGGATCGGAGTAGTTTTAAGAGAGTGTTCCAGAAGTCCAGATAAGTGGACATAGCTCAGGCCCAGTGGACATGAGAGAAGTGGCAGGCATCCACTGATGTCCCCAGACTCGCAGAGGGACACGGGACCCCAAAAGTGCAAGGAAACTGGCATAGATGCTCTGCAGAATGGATGGGTTTCAGGGTATATCTTAATAATTGAGGGGCACCTGGGTGCCTCAGTTGGTTAAGCGTCCAACTTCAGCTCAGGTCATGATGTCTTGGTTCACGAATTCGAGCTCCATGTGGGGCTCTGTGCTGACAGCTCAGAGCCTGGAGTCTGCTTCAGATTCTGTGTCTCCCTCTCTCTCTGTCCCTCCCCCATTCACACTCTGTCTCTCTCTCAAAAATCAATCAATCAATCAATCAATCAATAAAAATAACTGAAGCAACGAGACTGGTTGATGGATTATTGAGATGGAAGGAAAAGGATGGGTAAGAACAAGCGTGTCCCCCAGGTTTTTTTTTTATGTTTTTTATTTATTTCTGAGAGGGAGAGAAACAGCATGAGCAGGGGAGGGTCAGAGAGAGAGGGAGACGCAGAATCTGAAACAGGCTCCAGGCTCTGAGCTAGCTGTCAGCACAGAGCCTGACGTGGGGGTCGAACCCACAGGCTGTGAGATCATGACCTGAGCCGAAGTCGGACACTTAACCGACTGAGCCACCCAGGCGCCACCCCCTCCCCCCCAGGTTTTTTATGGAGTCACAGAGAAGATTGTAGTGCTCTTCCTTGGGAAGGCGGGCCCAAGGCAGTAGAAAATCAACACTGCAGGGAAAGGAGAGAGGGAAATCCAAAGTTCTGCTTTGCACAGGTTAAGACTAAGGTGCCTAGGGGCGCCTGGGTGGCTCAGTCGGTTAAGCGTCCGACTTCAGCTCAGGTCATGACCTCACGGTTTGTGGGTTTGAGCCCCGCATCGGGCTCTGTGCTGACAGCTAGCTCAGAGCCTGGAGCCTGCTTCACTTTCTGTATCTCCCTCTCTCTCTGACCCTCCCCTGCTCAGGCTGCCTCTCTCTCTCTCTCTCAGAAACAAATAAAACATGAAAAAATTTTTAAAAAAATACTAAGGTGCCTAATAGACACCCCAGTAGAGGTACTGAGCATTCTGGGCTGAGGTGCTAACAGGTGCCTGAATGAAAAGTCATCCTTACTATCACTCGGATATAACATGCAATCATTTACAAACCCCATTCTAGACATAGCAAAGCATTACGTGTGTTTGACAAGGACACATGTGCATTAACGACTATTTTCGTCACATTTACATTTGATCGTCACAACAATCCTAACAATAGAATGTTCCTAATTACCTTGATAGCTATGCACAGATGCATTGTCCAAATTAAATACTCACTGTTTGGGAGCAATAAACTGTCTCTGCAAGCCAGAATCACAGTTAGAACCATCTGCATATCTGGCTTGGGAAATCTCCCACCACAAATGCCCCCTGCCATGTGCAGAGGGAGGGTGTGGTAAAGAGATTTGAAGGGTTAACCAATCAGGGTTTTCCTGACTACTCAGTGCCAGGAAAGCATAGGTGATACCAGCATCTCTAGTGGTATGACTTTAGAGGAAATGAGAAAAGGAAGATCTTAGTTATTGAGCACCCACTGTGTGGTGGATGCTTTCCTCATAATAATTCTGTGGTGTATTAGCTTTCCCAGTTTATAATTAGGAAATGAGTTTTGAATAAACACAAGCCCAAGGCCCCCAGGCACAGGAAGTTTCAACTTCAGTATGAGTGATGTTGAAGTCCACGTTCGTTTCTTCTGAGTCCCACAGTGTGTCTGAACGTGAGTGTGCCTTGCTCCAAAGGAGAGTGTACACTACGGAGATGTTTCAAAGGAGCCCGTTGTGTTCAGCTGAGGAGGAAGTGTCTACTATGTGGGACTCCTCTCTCAGCTAAGGAAAAATAAATCAGCGCCTCTATTTTGCCTAAAGTCTATTTGTTGTCTTGAATTACCAGTTGAGTTCATGTCCTCTTTCCCACTGACATTTAAAATACCCCCAAGCTGATGGTGGTGGGGGCGAGGGGAAGGGGGGTGATGGCCATGGAGGAAGGCATTTGTTGGGATGACCACAGGGAGTTATATGGAAACCAACTTGACAATAAACTATGAAAAGAAAAAAAAATTTTTAAATACCCCCCAAGAGGAAGGCTGTCTGAGCAATTTTACATTCTTGCACAAATCTGGTGGCCAAGAAGCTACAGTCCATCTGTGCACTCAGAGTGCATTTGCCATCATGCAGAGTCTACCTAACGCTTTCTCAACTATTTCTCAGTCCACAGTTTGTTCCCCTGCCCTGTTGTTGTCACTAAGTCACCCAAATGCTTGATTTCATTGTTCCTTCTGATTCTTGTATATTCTAATGATTAAAACAGCTGTATCATAAAATTGCAAGTCTATTCTCTAACATGTAAAATTTAAGTCTGTTCATCCAGAAAAACCCTATAGATACAGATCTATATGTATATAGAGGTATAGAGAGAGATACATGATCAAACCACTCTCTCTAATTTACAGAATTTCAGGAGATGCAAACCTGCCACCACTCCATGACATCCATGACTCCAACACAAGAAACATGCTCCAGGCTGGCTCAGGCATTTATCTCTAAGGGTGTGCTGCATTTAGGATGCTTTGTGGGGAGCAAAGGTTCACTGCAGATAGGACATCGACACAGCAAGAAAAGAATGGGGTGACTCTATGAATCAAAGGATGGAAAAGCTTGGAGAAGCAAAAAATCAATCATTTTGCCCATGGCTGGTACCTGACAAAAGTGGTGTGACTCAGGAAGAGGAGCTTGCTGAACAGAAGCTGTGATTCTACAAGAGCACAGATGGACATTGAGATAAAACAGACAGTCAGTAGAATAACACAACGTAACAATCTCCTTTTGCTGAAATAGCACCAGATTGACTTGCTCATTCCTGGCTTTGCCTTGTGATGAAACAGATACAGTCTGACAAGGTCACAGAGTTTAAAAACAAACAAACAAACAAAAACAACAAAACAAAACAATATAAAACAAACCAACCAACCTAGAGGACACACCTGGTTGGCAAAGCTGGACTTGACGGTTGTCGGAATGCACTCCTCCAGGTTGGCATCCTCAAAGATGATGGCGGGATTCTTGCCCCCCAGCTCCAGAGAGAGCTTCTTGCAGTGGGGAGCACTCAGCTGAGTGATCCGCTCGGCTGTGGGCTGGCTCCCCGTGAAGGAAATGAGGGGTACCTCTGGATGGGACACTAGGGCCTCACCTACCCTGGGCCCCGTCCCAAACACAATATTTACCACACCTGGTGGAACACCTGAATAGGAAACAGTAACAGTTACAATGATTCTTCTCAGTGTGTTGAGAACTTGGGTAACACAGAGATTCTCCTTGAAAGTCCAGTAGCTTGAATGGGTGGGAGAAAATGTCTATGGCTGTCTCTAGTTTAATAACAAAGCTCCATGTGCTTTGCCTTAGAAAAATGAAGCGTAGAACATTCTCTTCCTCTTTTTTGATGTTTATTTATTTATTTTGAGAGAGAGAGAGAGCCAGCCAGTATAGGGAGAGGCAGAGAGAGAGGAGAGAGAGAGAGAGAGAGAGAGAGAATCCCAAGCAGTCTCTGCACTGTCAGTACAGAACCCGATGCAGGGCTTGATCTCACAGACTGTGAAATCTTGACCTGAACTGAAATCAAGAGCTGGACGCCTAACTGACTGAGCCACACAGGCACCCTGAATATGAGAACATTCTAATTAATTCATTCCATAATATTGACTTGGCATCAGAGGCCGAGGACACAGAGATATCCTCAGGCAAGTCAAGCCCCCTATGGTAGAAAAGCCCTGCTCCTAGTTGGGCATCCAGAAGTCACAACTCAGTATGAAAATGTTAAGTAGATGCAAGAAGAGATTGACTATCTTGGCCCAGGGATGGAAGGGAGGCTCCTCCAGGAAGGTGGGTATTGAGTTAAAGTCCTGTGTCTCATAATATGGACATACCATTACACTCTTGGACTGACTTAAAGTACCAAGAACTCCCCAAAACAGGTACCCCAATCTTTCTATCATGAGACCCTACCTTCCTACATTTGCATGTATTTTTTTAATGTGTTTATGGCTTTAGTTGTTTATTACCTATCCAGCACTGGAAGGTACACTAAGGGCAGAAATGGTGTCTGTCATTCTCTGCACCATGGCCTGGTTTGCCATATAGATCAATACTATAAATGCTCACATTCATGCTGGGTCAGTCATTGCTGTAAGTGATTTACACCCTTCCAATCTCCCAACAACTGATGATGCAGGTAGGGTTAATATCCTCACCTCAGCCAAACTGAGGCAAAGTGGGATTAAACAGCAACCACTATGAGACAAAACCCTGTGTAGAAGATTAATAAATAGTTAAGTGGATGAATGAACAAGTAACTAGTGTACATTATACAAATCAGAAATGGTTCTTGATTTTAGAAGACTTTAAGTGTCCAGAAAGAAAATCTGTGTGCAATTGTGTTGTGTCCAGGAAGCTCTTAGGGTTTGCTTGGAGGTGGCTGAATTTATTGTCTATATTTCTTCAGCCTTGAAGTGCAATAGATGCAGAAAACCTCCAACGTGTAAGGTTTTTGAACTACTTCCTTGCTCCTAGGATCTTTTTCTGTCCAGGCTGGCCATCCTCTCCTTAATAGAAACATGCTCTATTGGGTTAAAACCATGTCTTCAAGAATATGCTTTTAAAGCATAAATAATAAGTTCTCATTGATGATCCATTATCATCCAGAACACCCTCCCATAGAGCCAGAGCCTTAGCCTGATCACCTGAGGGGACAAACAAGGCCCCAATGAGGTGAGCCTCAGTGACAGGTGTGAAGAATCAAAGTGGTATCTGACAAAGTGTCACCTCTAATGGTCCCACCTTTACATTCATGTGCATACTTATTGAAACCTCGCTTGGCTCAGTCCTGGATCACAGGTCACTGCCTCAGAGGGCAGGCCCAGGGTCAGACACCATGTGTACGCAGCTGAGCCCTGTGTTGCAGCAAAGAAGAGGCTCAGAAGAGGGGACCCCCCACGGTTGGTTGATGAGAGAGAAACAAGGACAGGTTCCCCACCATTTGAAAGAAGGAGTCTTGAATCTCCATCAATTATTGGGCATGCGAATATTTGCCAGATATTTTCTTTTTTTTTCTTTTGAAATGTTTATTTATTTTGAGTGAGAGACAAGAGAGCATGAGCTGAGAAGGGACAGAGAGAGAGGGACACGGAATGCGAAGCAGGATCCAGGCTCTGAGCTGTCAACACAGAGTCCGATGCGGGGCTCAAACCCATGAACGCGTGAAATCATGACCTGAACTGAATTCCGATGCTTAACTGACTGAGCTACCCAGGCATCCCTGCCCAATATTTTCTGATTGGAGTTTGGGGACAAGAGAAGGTAGACTGTTGTCCGGCTTTATGAATCCTGAAGGCAAAAATGGATCAAGTCACTCCTAATGTTTACAACAGAATTTTAATGAAGAGTGAAGAAAACTTAGAAACACCACATACTTATCACCCCAGGAAAATGAGCTATTTTCAACAGGCCAATTGTCTTCTATGCAGTGGCATTAACACTTTACATTTCCTTGAGCTCTGGCATTAAGATGTTTAGAGCTACCTACTGGCCATTATTTCTCGGTACCAATTTGCCATTTGATAGAGACAGTAATGTAATGAAATTTTTCTAGAGACATCTGCCCTCTATCTTTAAGATACTCTAGTTATCAAAGGAAGAAGGCACACAAGTTGGCAAATAATAGTTCAATAGGTGACAAGAAAGGGCACAAAGTCCCTCCCATGTGAGGATGTGGGAGAACAAAAATAGGAAGCACCAGAAATCCTCTTTTAGTAGACACTCCAAGAATGAGGGCAAACATTTGGTGCCGCAAGAAGAAGCCAATATTCTAGGACTTTCTTTTTTTTTTTTTTTTTTAATGTTTTATTTATTTCTAGGAGAGAGAGAGAGAGAGACAGCATGAGCAGGGGAGGGTCAGAGAGAGAGGGAGTCACAGACTGAAACAGGCTCCAGGCTCTGAGCTGGCAGTCAGCACAGAGCCCGATGCGGGGCTCGAACCCACGAACCGCGAGATCATGACCTAAGTGAAAGTCGGACGCTTAACCGACTAAGCCACCCAGGCGCCCCTAATATTCTAGGACTTTCAAAGAGTTACTTGGTGTATGCTTTTTGAAATGATTTCACTTCACAGGAAGGTTATCTGTCAAGTCAGTTTGAAGGCCCAGGACTAGAGGACTGGCTCTTTAAATATCAAGGATGCACCAGCAGGTCATTTCAGCCCTCTTTTTCTTACACCATTAAAAGTGTCTCTTACACAGTGTCAGTCTCAGTGGAGAAACTGAGGGCTTAAGATAGGTGCAATATGAGGGGAGCATGCCTGGGTGGCTCAGTCGGTTAAGCATCCAACTCTTGATTTAGGCTCAAGTCATGATTCCAGGGTCATGGGATCGAGCTCTGAGTTGGGCTCCATGCTGCACGTGGAGTCTGTTTAAGATTCTCTCTTTCTCTCCTTCTGCCCATTTCCCCAGTTTGTGCCTCCCCCCCACAAAGTAATTTTTTTAATAGGTGATATTTGAGCCTTATGCTCTCAGTGTTGGCCAAAGGAGGAAAATTTAGCAAAACCAGCCCAGGCTAGGAAGGAGAGAAGAACCACCTTGGTATAATCAGCTTATTTGTTCACAAGGAATAAGATCAATGCTGTGCAAATATATGGATACAAAAAACTCTCATGCACACCAAGTTGTGGGTGTATAGAAGGGGAGAGTGCTCAGGGAAAGGAATCATCCTACACCAAGATGTGGTTGGCTTCAAGAGAGAATGGTTCCAGGAACACAGCTCTGTGGCCCATTCCCCCTCCACGAGTCCCCTCCCCAACATGGATCACAGCAGAGCCTAGGTCCCACTTCTGTCCACTCTGGTGAAAAGGCAGGGAAGAAATGCCTTGGACCTCTGCAGACATTAAGCACTTCGTTTTGCAAAGAATGCCATTGGAACGTGATCCCTCATGTAAGAAAGGAATAACATGTGGGATGTGAGAGAGGTAGCCATCTTCCTATCATATACCTTCCAGAAGCCTAGGACATCCATAAATGTCATCCCAAAGACCGAGGCTGGAGGGCTTCATTCCTCTGCTCAATACAAGGGAAATGGGTAGCTGGATTCGGGTCATGAGGCCACAGTTTAACCTGCCATCTAAATCCTGAGTCAAGAACTGGCTCGACTTTCTTAGAAGCCAATATGTACGTTTTTGCTTGGAACGATGAAATATCCAGAAGAGGGAGGGATGGGCTCTTTCTAACCACCTACTTTGCAGATATGGGGGAGCTATGAGCAGAGACTGACAGACTGAAAGACAGCCTGTTTTCCACCACCGCCCCTCCCCACCCCATCATCCCAGCCCAGATTATGTATGGAGACCTGAGCTGAGGGACTTAATAGCGAGGAGCTTTCCTATGGGTTACAAGCTGGGGCCCCCAACGGCTACCCTCCAAATGTTACCCCAGGATGTAAGCAGGAACATACCTTGAATGTGGCCATTACACTGTTGACAAAAAGGGGACAAGGAGGGGGGCCTGGGTGGCTCAGTTGGTTGAGTGTCAGATTTTAGCTCAGGTCACGATCTAACAGTTCATGAGTTCAAGACCCATGTCTGACTCTCTGCTGACAGCTCAGAGCCTGGAGCCTGCTTGGGATTCTGGGTCTTCCTCTCTCTCTATCCCTCCTGCACTTGTATTCTCTCTCTCTCTCTCTCTCTCTCTTTATCTCAAAAAGAAATAAACAGTTAAAAATAAAAAGAGGACAAGGAACTATATTATATCAGCTTCCTCAAATGCTGGGAAAACTGAGGGATATATATTCAAATCTCTTGAAAATGGGCTATTTCGCACAGTTACTCTATAACCGTACAGAAAAATCCTCCCTTTTTTCATCAAGGTTGACATATAGTCCAACATAAGATTTAAACTGACCATTGAAAACACTCTGGAGGTGGCTGCTGTCGGATGTGATTGGGCTCTTCCAGCCCGCTGGGGCTCCAGGCTCCCAGACTGCACAAGTCATTGTACTGCCAGCCCACCCCCCTGCTGGCCGAAGGGTTTGACGGCAGCCGCAGCAGCATGGACAGGGACAAAGAGAGGAAGCAGCGTGATGAAGGGGATTTCTCGGAAAAGGATCAGAGAGACAAAAAGCAAAGATGTCAATGGAATCGATTTTGCTCTGTGCGGATTTCTATCCAAAATAAGTGTCAAATGTCAGTGACACGGAGATGGCTGCAGCCCACAAAACTTGCAGCCCCAAAGCCAATCCACAGCTAATTACCTGCTGTCTCCAGGAGTTTGCACATCATCCAGGCAGTCACTGACGTCAGCTCGCTAGGCTTAGCTATCACAGTGTTGCCGGCAGCAATGGCTGGAGCCACCTTCCAGGTCAGCAAGTAGAGTGGCAAATTCCAGGGGCTGATCAGACCAGCTAGAAGAGACCAGAAGCACCCCCAGCGACGGCATGCCCCTCGAAGCAGACTGGCCCAACTTGCTTTATTAATGTGAAGCGCCTCCCTCCTGCATAAAAGTTAAGCTGACTCTTCTAAAAATCCCAAATTTTGCTATTTGTAGCCAACTTTGGGAAAAGAATTCTAAAATGTGTTATATGCAACCGTGCCTCTTAAAACTATACATCTATACAATTTACTCTTTTCTTGATGTCAGAACAATTGTATTTATGAACAACAGCAGTATAAGTTCTAGGAAAAAGAGGCTGTCACCTGTCACTAAACAGTTCCAATTGTGATAAGTTTTGAGATTTATAGACCAATGTTTACATTTTTTTTAAACTCTCCTTCATTGTCAAACTGTCTAGCTATTATTTCTTTTAAGCTTTTCCATCACTGTTTCTAATCTGTTGTGGATTAAGACATAAAATCTCTAGCTTTTTAGAATTATTTGTAAAATAAGAGCAAATCAGTAATGAGTCTGCCCTGTGGGGCCCTCCTATTAGTAAAGCCAATGAATTTTGATGCATAGACTGTGAAATCCATTTTGGCTAGCTAGGGGATTTTTTAACAAAACATTCTCTCTCAGTTCTCACCTGTATCAGGAGCAGATAGGATTGTGGAACAGGTAATAGAACCAGCATCTAGAATTTGTTTCCATGCGATGCTAAAACCATGTGTAGGCTTATAACCATAACACACACACACACACACACACACACACACACACACATACAATCTACCTTATGAATAAGTAAATGGATTCATCTTATTTTATACTCTTCCCTCAAACCTGTGCTGTGAAAGTGAACATACAATTTATGTTATTATATTTCTCATTGGAAAATGTTTTAGGGGATAACAATAGTTTTTCAGCATTATATATCACCATACTTCTTAGAGGAAGGTTTGAGCTTTTTCTAAATGCCTTCAAAATATGATTTCCAAAGGGTTCAAATAATCAAAGTGGTAAAATGTCTCATTTTCTTTCTTTTTAACTTATTTTCTTTTATCCTTTCATAAAGTTAGTATAGGAGGTTGGTGGGTTTTTTCCCTCGGAGGAACAGTGACATCTAGTGGATATTTTGAGACATTGCTCATACTTATATGTCCTCTAAAAGAAAGCCGGAAGCAGCTAATTCAGTCAAGGCTCATATTTATCTGGAACTGTTCTAAGTGTCCTACACTTACTAATTGATTTAATCTACATTAAAATATACAAATATAAAACTAAACCATTCTTCCAGTTTTTCAGATAAGAATTTTGAAGTATACAAATGTTATGAAACTGGCCTTGCATGGGGCACCTGGGTGGCTTAGTCAGTTAAACGTCCGACTTTCGCTTGGGTCATGATCTCGCGGTTCGTGGGTTCGAGCCCCGCGTCGGGCTCTGTGCTGACTGCCAGCTCTGAGCCTGGAGCCTTTTTCTTATTCTGTGTCTCCCTCTCTCTCTGACCCTCCCCTGCTCACGCTGTCTCTCTCTCTCTCTCTCCTAGAAATAAATAAAAATATATATAAAAAAAAAAAAGAAAAGAAAAGAAAAGAAACTGGCCTTGCACATACCCAAAATCCATGCTCTTAACTACAAGACTCTCTGGAAAGAAACATTTTTTTAGTTGTATGGGGGGGGGGGAGGGGGAGGAAATCTTTGTATGCGAATTTCTTCTCAGTATTATTCTTTTCCTGGTAATTCCCCCAAGAACAATGTTTTTAGAATAAGTGGGGAATTTGACACAAAGAAAATAACCTCGAAATAGATTTTCGAGGCCAGTTAATTTTCGGCTCAAGTAGAAGAAATCAGCTCTTTCCTTTTTCTGGGTCTGCCCCCTTAGGTGAGTGCGACGGGCCTGCCCAGCACCCTCCCCCTGCGGGCTTCCCCTGAGCAGCACCTACCGACGCCCACGGGGGTGCGCACCGTGTAGTGCAGGCAGCCCATGTGGTCCATCTGCGTGCACTCCGATGTGTGGTGCAGGATGGAGGAGGCGAAGAACCGGAAGTTCTGCACAGACCGGGGAACGTCCATGGTTCTTGCCAACGTGATGGTTTTCCCTGGAGCAAGTCAACACAGAAGGCGCTGTCAGCGTGGTGGAGACGCCATCACACCTGCGTCCTAACTCACACTCATGGAGTCTTGGTGCCCCGCCCCGGCCCCGGCCCCCAGCCCTTGACTACGTGGGCGACTGATCATGGTTTCCTAAAGCTGTGAAATAACTGGGTACGATGTTTAGGATGAGGCGGGAGGCTTAAACCGGAGTCCAGTAATCTTTGTTTGGGGGGTTGAACATCTGACTTCGTCAGATGCTACCACTCTGCTCACATCAGCTCTTTGATTCAAAATCACCATGATTTGTGGAGGCTACAAAGTGGTTGGAGTGATGGCTGTTAGGACAGCTGTATCCACACATCACCAGGAGCCTAGCTCCTGGATTGAACAAAAAGAGATCCCGGACTGTTTCTTTATTATCTTCGGCAATTCTGGGGGACTCCCAAGGTCAGGAGCACCAGCGGGAAACATCTTCTTCTTAAGGGCTGAGACTCAGGCCTCTTCCTAACTTTAAACTGATGTACAGCACGCCTATCATTTTAAAAGATCTTGGGTTTTCCTAACAGACATCACTGCAAGGATCTATGGACATTCACTCCATTATCCACACCTCTGGGAAGGAGTTAAAAATTAGGTCGTTGTGTTGAGAGTGGAATGCTGACATAGCAGATTCTTTCTAAACAGCTTGACTGTAACTGCTCCTCAATTACCTGTGCTTTGAGACGGTCTGCCTAGAATCTGTGGAGGGTTGCATGACCAGCCCTCCTCTTCCTCTCTCCTGGTATCGGCGCCCTTTGCCAAGCATCTCTGCCGTGCCTTCCACCAAATGGACAAGATGGATTTACCCCCCTGCCCCAGAACCTGGGCTCAGCTCTGACTTGCTTTGGCCATCGGAATGGGGCAGAAGTGGCCCAGATACAAGACCCCAGGTGGTTTTGCTTTCCACCTCTACCTCTGCCATGAAAGCATCGTGCAGGCTAGCCTGATGGGTGCAGGAAGCCTAATGGGAAGAACGTGCCCTGAGTCCCATCCAGTGTGGTTAAGCGTCAAGAGGTTACCTGCCCAACCAGGAGGGGCTGAATCGCCAGCATCTGAGTAAGTGTACCGCGCTTTCCATAAAGCACTGCTAACAGGCAGCTGCGCTCACCTTGGTCTCTGGATTCCGCCTGGGCCAGGTCCTCCAGGGATTTTTCCAGCAGATCGGCCAGCCGGTGCAGCACCTGTGAGCGCTCCTGGGCGCTGCGGGCCGACCAGCCGGGAAAGGCTGCTCTGGCCGCCTCCACTGCGGCTTCGATCTGTGAAGAGCAACAGGGAGAGCATTACCTTGAGGATGTTGCTTCTGGAAGAATCCAGAAACCACAGCTCCACACATGCCTATTTTTTTTTTTTTTTGCCTCATTTCAAATATTCAACACTTGCTAGTGCTGAGTTACCTGCGAAGTGGTGTTTATGTGACTCGTGAATCATGGGCACCCCAAAAACAGAGAATGATCCATTTCGACCAAGGTATCCAGATGTGGCAATCAGATAATTAAAAAGAAGGTATTTGAGGGGCGCCTGGGTGGCTCAGTCGGTTAAGCGTCCGACTTCGGCTCAGGTCATGATCCTGCTGTTCATGAGTTCAAGCCCCACGTCGGGCTCTGTGCTGACAGCTCAGAGCCTGGAGCCTGCTTCAGATTCTGTCTCTCTCTCTCTCTCTCTCTCTGTCTCTCTGTCCCTCTCTGCCTGTGCTCTGTCTCTCTCTCTCAAAATTAAATAAATATTAAAAATAAAAGCTATTTAAATTTTAATAGATGCATGTTTTCATGTCAAAATACACTTTTTTTTTACTATCATAGAGGAAACTCATCTCGATGTGTAGAATCTCTAAGCTTTTAATCCAGCTCCAACACATCTGATAAAGTCTAAAATTTTGTTTGAAATCATATCTGCGGGCTGTTGTTTCCACTCAGAATGACTAATCATAATAGCCATTTACTAATTTTTATAAAATTTTTATAAATTATAATTTTTATACTTCCTTTCATAAAGGAATATGTTACACACACAAATTATTTCATCTAACTCTGTTTTAAACTTCTAAGCTATGGCCATGGCTATGCCCATTTTACAGATGAGGCAACTGAGGCACAGAGCGCTCATGTAAACTGGCAGAGGTCACACAGCTAATAAGTGGCGGCATTAGGACTCAAACCCAGATCTTTGTGGCCCCCGAGACCACAGCTGGCCCTCTATGGCATGGCCACAGTCCCTGCCCTTGCCTGGCTCTGCCCAGTGAAAGAGGCCTCTGTTGGAGAGGAGGATAGCTGTGTTTGAACAGATAGTTTGCAGACCTGGTTTAGGTGCCAAATCTAAAAATATACATGGGAAGGTATGGGCAAGGCCAATTTCGCGCAAAGTAAAATGGGTCTTCGGGTCGTCTGCTGCCTTTGTCCACTTCTAGCAAAGTCTAAGCAATGTCTCTTCCAGAGGTAGCAAGCCGGGTAGCCTGTGTCTCACCCCTCTCCCCTCCCACACACATGACAAGACTTTGTAACCACTCACAGCTTTCTTCTACACCTGGGCTCAGACCCAGCCTCAGACTCCTTTTCCACAGACTTCAGGCAACCTCGGGTATCTTCCTCTTTGCACATGATCTGACAATTCTACGGCCTTCTCCCCCAAAACCTGATGTACACCCCTCCTTCGTTTTCTTTATGCAAACAGAGTCACTTTCAGCGGGGCTGAATAAAGGATAAAGTGATTCTCATTTTAATTATAAGTTTCTGGAAAAAATGGCATTTTCATTTCAAAAGCCGAGCCTCTAGTAAGGCCCTCGGACAGGATGAAGGAAAAACCCAGGCTTTCCACCAGACGCGGCCACCTGCTGCGGTCAGCACAAAACCTCATCTTCCGGGGTTGTCAATGTAAAGGCTAAGCTTTCTGCTATGCAGAAAACTCAAGTCCAGTCCTATTTTCTAAGCTGTCTGACGTCCATGTAATCTAGAATACATATTATTATAACAGGAGCATAAGCTAATACTAGGAAAGCGTTTACTACGTCCTGAACACTGAGGGCTTTACGTATACCAGTCTGTTTCATCCTCAGAACAACACTATAAGGTGGGTATTATTCTTATCCCCATTTCACAGGGAAGGTGACTGAGGAACAAGGAAGTTCAGCTCTGAGTCAAGACCATAGATACTAAGTGATGCAACTGGTCTTCGAAGCTAGGTGGTCTGACCCCAGTCTGTGCTGCTGACTGCAAAGCTATCATGTAATTGCCACAAGTGCGTGTGTGTGTGTGTGTGTGTGGCCACTGATCTAAGCAGCAGAGATGAGAATGTTAGCTCACTGTCGTCTGTGGAATCAGAATGATGATAAAGTCTTATTTGTAGGCCATTACGACTCATGGGGGGGCGGGGCGTAATTCATGTTAAAGGGCTTGGTGAAGGCAGAGCACAGAGCAACCCCAATAAATGGGAACGGCTGTTGGCAACACAAGCAGCACTTTCTGTGAGTGACTTTATGTGAAACTGGGCATGTAGTTTGTATGTTGACCATACTTTTCAAGTCAGAAAAAGCTGGGGCTTATGGGATCAGAGAGAATATTTGCAGGGAAATCCTCTACTACCAGGTGCTTCCGTAGTGCATTCCGTCTTCTGAAAAAGCATGAACCATTAGCTGCAGAAAATATTTCAACCGAATTTGTCTATTTGTCATTTTTAACTTCATTTTGGAAAACACTTCGAGACCAGGGGGACCGGAAAACACAAGGCTGGGTTTCCCACGTCTATCCCAGTTCGTTTGAAACAAACAAAATTGTGGGTTACAGTTTAACCAACAGATTAGCCAATATTTGCAAACTTCAATCCACAAGTCTAAAGGTTTTTTTTTAATGTAAGACAGATTTAAAATATTATTAACAAAAAAGAAATAAATAAAATAGCTTAGTATAGATGAAGGCTTATTTATATATCTTTATTTATATATGAAGGTTACAATTGTATTTTAAATAATCTAGTTCTTTGTGCCTTAAAAAATAAAATCCATTAGGCATTAGATGAGATTATGTACATCAACCACATTGATCACCCTAGACAATTGACATTCTCAATATAATAATTATAACTAATCAAATGTATCTCCACCATTTTACAAAATTTCTCAAGTAAAATTAATGTGACATCAATAAAAAAAATTTTAATGTGTGTGCCATTAAGCACTTTGAGTCAGAAAACGGATGGTTTTAAATTTAAATTCAAAACTATATGGGAATTTGAGTTTGCATTTCATTATTCAAATGATCAGTTTTACTTTCCTAGATATTTTAAAGACATAAGAAATTATTAAAGGATAACCTAAAGTAAATCCATAGGATTTTACTTCTGTTTGTTTTGAGTGAAATAACGAGTTTTCTAGAAATCCATGAATATAGTGTCAAATTCAGGCAACACTTAGTAGACGAATGGAAACAGTAATACTGATCATTCTTAACAAGTAATACTTTTACTAGACACCTAATAAGGAATGTCTGAGAAATGGGGCTGTGTATTGAGCTGCCTAGGCTAATAACTTGCTACTGCACAGAGCTGGGCTCTGTTCCATGCATAGGTATCCCCCCTTTTTAAAGAATATTTTTAAAGTTTATTTATTTATTTATTGGGGGGGAAGGGCAGAGAAAGAGGGAGAGAGAGAATCCCAAACAGGCTCCGTGCTGTCAGCACAGAGCCCGATGTGGGGCTCGAACCCACGAACTGTGAGCTCAGCCTGACGTGAGGTTGGAGGCTTAACTGACTGAGCCACCCAGGCATCCCAGGTAGCCCCTTTTGAAAGTTCACATGACCCTAATTCACTTTTACATTAGCACCTGTTTTCACTAACCAAAAGAAATCCAAAGAGGATTTTCACTTTTATGAAAAGAGCCAGTACCATATTTACGTACTTCTTTCCCAAAAGCAAAGTGTCATGGCACAAACTTTCAGAATGTGGAGGATACTCTGCACTTTATGCCATTTCAAAAGGTGTCCTCAGAAGGCTCTCTTTTTGGATGGCAGGGAAAACCTACATCCTAGAAGTCCAATTACAAAGCAAACCTTCCCAGAATGAAAATTTTCCTTCTGCTAATGTTTAACAACAGGACACCTTTTCCCAACTCCCGTTGTTCCTAGAAAAGAAAATGACATGTAATTCATCAGCACACGGGGTACATTTCAGTTTTCTCTAAGTGAATGCACTCACCTCTTCTTTTCCACTGTTGGGCACCCTGCAGTATACTTCCCCCGTGGACGGATCATAAGAATCGATGTATGAGTCACAAGGTACAAACTTTCCATTAATGAAGTTTTCTAGTGTCAGAAGTGCCTTTGTCCCAGCCATGGTGGAGACGAGTGGTTAGGGAGTTTTCCCTACCCCGAAGTTTGCCTGTCCTCACCTCCTGACCCAATCTCATTGACCAATCAGGGAATGTGGGAGGTGTCCTGACACTCAGGAGGGGTCCAGTCTCCAAACTCTAAGTGAAGAGGGTTCTGGAATATTTCACAGACTTCTAGTACATTATGAAAAAGGGATACTAATATGGTAAAGGAACACTGCTTATGTGTTCATGGCCCTTTGAAATGTCAGAAGGTATTTGTGTGTCTCCTTTCATTGCGTTCACACGATAAACTTTATTGCTCAAACACTGAGGGTCAGACCCTGAAGCAAGTCCTTGACATAAATTTATTCGTTTATTCCACACAGCAACCCTATATAAAGTAAATGTCATTAAATCCCCTCTATTGTAGAAGAAACTGAGCAACGAAGTTAATTTGCCCAAAATCGCAGTTAGTAAAGAGTGAACATTAATCTGTTTTTCTCCTAATCATGTGTTTTTCCTCAACACATCGCTGCCCTCACCCCACGGAGGTGACTCGAGACAGACTCCCTCTTTCCATCTCTCATCTGTTTCTCTTTACCTTGGCTGCCTTCTCTCTGACCTGTCCCTCCGTCCCGAAGCCAGCAGCTCACCAGTCACATGTGCCATGGCAATATGACAAAAGTCAAGTGTATGCACGGTGTGTATGACACACAAGGGATTCACATCTATGAGCTGTGTAAGAATTTCTGTAAGTCGGTGAGGGAAATGAACAACCTGATTGAAAAAAATTAGCAAAGGCTATTAAAAAAAAAGCAATTCATAGCAGAGATGTGATAGGCAATTGACTACTGAACGTGTGAGAGGCGCTCTGACACATTGTTAATCAAAGGATGTGAATTACAAAGAGGTGCCCTGTCTCCCCAGTGAGACCGGAAAACATTTTCAAAGATCTGTCCTATCCACATCCTCTATGTGAAGATGTGGACAAGCATGTGCTCTCCTGCTCCTAACGTGGGACAGCTCGCAGGACAAGGGGGAGCGGGGGTGGGAGGCAACCAGGCAGTGTCAACATATTAAATGTGTCCACTTGGAGTCTGGGAAGCCCAGGAATCTCTCACAGAATTCTTGCTCTGGAGCAAGTAGGTAAGTCACAGGACATCTGTTTGTATGGTAATCGAAAAATTGTGAAAAACCATAGACATGTCTGCCAACTGATGAATATGATAATTTGTTGTGACACCCACAATAAGGGATATTATGTAGCCACTGAAAGGTGAAAAACAGAGGCGCGCCTGGGTAGGTCAGGCGGTTGAGCGTCTGACTTCAGCTCCGGTCATGATCTCAAGGTTTGTGAATCTGAGCCCTGCATCGGGCTCTGTGCTGACAGCTCAGAGTCTGGAGCCTGGAGCCTGTTTCAGATTCTGTGTCTCCCCCTCTCTCTGCCCCTCCCTGGCTCGCACTCAGTCTGTCTCTCCCAAAAAGAAATAAGCACTTTAAAAAAATTGAAAGGTGAAAAAAAAAGAGAAGTAGCGAGTAATATATACCATACGATCATCTTTGATACTTATTTGATTGAGGGGATCGAACGGCGGGGCAGGAGAGGAGTGAGGGTTTTTTCCTCATTTTACTTCATATAGTTTTAAATTTCTTGAATACTTTATGATGAACCTCTATCAATATGCCCCTTTTATAGTTAAATTTTCATGAAATGTGAGATATCAGTTTCCTAAATTCATTGGTCATTTGGGAGGTTTCCTGGCTGTGTGCATCCTTAGATCCTTAGGACCTCCCTGCCTCCACCTTGTTGGCCTCTAAATAATCTCCAAAATGCTGGCTAATCAGTGATGCAAAGCAAGAGGCTCTCCTTTCCTTCCCTGCGCTGCTAAGGTTCAGGCCTCGCTGCAAATCTAAACCTGACCTTCGATGACGACGGTAGAGTGAACAAAGGACCCGCCCCTGGTCTTCTCTCATTTGCAGCTCAAAGCCTCTGCAGAAACTCAGGAATTGCAATTCCTGTTAATTTAACTTAGCCATTTTCTCCAGGTTCCTTCTCCCCACCCTGAAAGAAGCAGGGATGAAATTTAAAGAGGAGCACTTTTCTTCTCTGCCTAAAATTCTTAACACTCCTTTCCCAGGTGTGGTGAGTCTCTGTTGGATACCTGGTTACATACGAATGGAAACACACATGCATGCACAAATGCAATACTAAGGGCCCCCAGCGTCTGTTTGGAAACCCAGAAACCAGGGTGGGTATTTCGAAGTCTAATGCAAGGAAATGGTTACACTGTGTGGGAAGGCCCCCCAGGGTGGGTATTTTGAAGTCTAATGCAGGGAAATGGTTACACTGTGTGGGAAGGCCCAGAGAGGGGCCGGTGGGCTGAGACACCCAGACAGTAGTTAACATCAAAGAGCAGCTGGGGAATCTGAGCGCTCAGAAGAGGAGGAGAGGTGAATAGCAGCAGCTTCTGCAGGGCTGCGGCGAGGCTGCAGCGGGCTGGGCCGAGGGCGGGGCTGCGGCTGCAGAGATGCTGCCCGGTCCTGGGGATGCAAGGGGGTGCCTCTTCCCTCCCCTCCTCCCAGTGCGTCCCGTCAGCAGGAAGCCAGCTGGCAAGGGATCTGAGCAATAGGGTCGGGGCCGCGGAAGGAGCCTGGAGCAGAGAGCCTGGGGGAAATGCCCAGACAGACAGACTTTTCTTAGCCTGTGGCCCTGGTTCTCCCACTCTCCTCTTCCAGGGTCTTCTTTGCGCCTTCTGAACCTCCTAGAATCCCACCCTTGTCCTAAGCACTTCATGCTCAAAAGCGTGCATCGCCCTCCCTTCCCCTCGCCCACTGCACTGAGAGTTCTCTCCCCAAGCTATGGAGAAAAAAATCCCATCACGTGACAGAAACAACGGAGACCTATGTGGACGTATTAATCAATGTTTTGGTCTTTTTGTAGAGTTGATAATAATCCAAAAGATTCCAATTAGAGGGCTACCTGAGGGAGATCTTTTAAGCAAAAGGGACTTTCCAAGGACCCCGTGGGGGTGGAGTTCTCTGACACATAAGAGCAGAATGGAGTGAGAAACTGGCCCCTGTGTTTGTAACTTCCCCTCACAGAAATAGGCCCCGCTTCGGAGCAGGCTTGGGGGTAGTTAAGTTATAGCCGCATCTTGTGCTGCTTGTCATTCAAGCTTGACCTGGCTCACTTTGGCGCAGGGCCGTGGCCCTTCACTTCCCTCTCCCTCTGGCCTGCCAGCCCCTTTCTGTCCACACTGCATGGATCCCCACGCGCAGGTCAGCCACAGACCTGACTCTGGAACCTGAGCTCAGATGAAGGGGGAGATGCTTGTGGATGACGCGGCATCCAGCTCCACTTTGACCTGAGTCCTAACCTGTCTTCAGGCCCTTCCCTTGAAACTCAGGACCAATCGTCTCTTGCCTGTTTCCCTGGGGTAGAGACTCTACTCCTTTGAGGTCCCACCTGCCTCACTGCACCCCTGCGTGTGACCTGCTCCCGAACTCTGTGGACTGATCCACCTGCTCTCCAGTGCCTGTCCCGCTGAGCCCAGGACCCTGGACTAGCATCCAAGTGTACTTCCATTAGCAGCAACCAGATCTGCGCGTGCACACACACACACACACACACGCACCCCAGCGGATGGATCTAGTGCAGAGCAGGCACAGTGAGAACAGAGGACTCAAGGCTTTATGTTCATCTGACAAAATCATAAACACGAGGTGTGGAGCATACTAATACTGTGAAGAGCCAATACTTCTAGAATAGTTCTGAGGACGATAGGGTATTTTCACCTCAGAGACAACAAATTATTCTTTATGGAATTATTCCCTGATTCTCTCGAGTGGCTTTGGAACTCAGGAAGGTGGCCTGAGTACCGGGAAGTACATGGTGTGTTTGTTATGTAAGCGTCTCCTATATCCCAGAAGCCATAGGGAAAGATATAGGTTACTTTCTAGTTCTCTCTCTCACCTTCATCTCTAGGGGAGATAGAGCACTAAACAAGTCACAACTAGTGGCGCGTGGGCACCCCGAAGGTGGCCACTGTGCTTGGCAGAAACCCAGGGCAGGGAACGGAGAGCTCCGTCTGAGTTCAGTGAAGGGATCAGAGGATAGGACTTTGGAGGTAGATAAGGAAGGACGGAGAGGCAGTTACAAGCAGACAAGAAGTGGGTAATTCCAGGCAGAGGAAATACCTGTTCAGGACCCCACCATCCTTCTGTCTCCACAAGAACCTTGACCAGCAGACAATTTCCTCTCTGACCCCTCCTCCTTCTCCTCTCTCCTGGTTCCTCAGCTTTTAATGGGCTCAAGTCTCTCTACTATAATATCATATCATGTGACTAGTGCGGAGAAAATAGGAGCTTCATAAGGTGAAGATATGTCTTCTCCAGCATGAGAACACTGTTCTGAGAATCACAAAATTAAACCCAGCTAATGGGGTACTGAATTGATATTACAAAGGCCACACACTACCTCATGCCCCTATATTCGAGGTAGAATTTAATTGACTTGTTTTGCTTTATACTATTATTTCTACCTATTTAAGTGGTTTCCATGTAGGAAAAAGTTGCTTATGAGAGCTAAAAGCTGGCTTGGCCATCATAGTTAGGCCATGGTGTTCTTCTCTCAAACATTAACAATTCCCAAATCTCTGACATCAGACAAGGTCACTCTGTGATCCTGAAGTGAGATCCTATGACCACAGCTGAGCGGCAAGCACTGTGCGAACCATAAAAATGACTAAACAGCGCCCTCTTGTGGCTAACTTGAGTGACTGCTGCTCCTTTACCTTGAGCCATTGCCCCTATCTCAAATGAGTACCCAGTTGCAGAATTACTTCCATTTTCTGACAGCACCAAATCCAGAAGAAATTCTTGCTCAAATGAGCCCCCCTCAAAATTACCTATGTGCGCCAAATTCTTTAACACACCCCTCCTTACCCCTTCTTACTGAGAAGCGCCTAGTCTCCATGGTGTATGGTCTCTCTCGCTGCAGCAAGCATCAGTTGTTCTGACTAGC